ATGAGCCGTGGGAGAAGCTGGAATTGATCGCCCTTCACGAGAAGTGGAAACGGAGCGGGAAGGGCGGCTGCCGCCAACTGCAAAAATGCTAGTGTCTCCCTGACCAGGTTTGATGTCCAGAATAGATTGCATACGAAGTCAGGTTTCCTCCTGCAGCAAAGCGCCGAGAACGCCCTCCATCTTGAGTGACTCTCGATGAATCAACGTGGCGCGAAGCGCCTCATACTCTGGGCGAAGCCGCGCAAGAAAGTGCAGCAGACGGATCCTATTCTTTTCAGCTCTTGCTTCTTCAGAAACGCTCGACGGCATCAGCGCAGCAGAGACCAAGTCTTGCTTAGTCCAGAGCTGTCGCGCCTCATTGTAATAAGAAGCGATATCATGATCGCCCTGCTGAAGCTGAGAAAGCGCGATCTTGAGATCAAACTAACGAGCTACGCTCGTCGTCCCATACGTTTCAGCCAAGTTCTTCCACATAGCGGCCGCCGTCTGAAGGGTACGTAAACCCAGCACGATCGACGTCTCGACGGAGTTCAGAAGGGCAGTCTTGACCCGCGCATCATTTTGCTGCCATTGAAGCAAAGTTTGCGCGGTAGCAGGCGGAACAACGGGTCTGGGCGACGATCCATCGATCGTGGAGAGAAGCCATTTCCCTTCGATATAGATACGCAACTGGAACTACCAAAGCGCGTAATTCTTCGAGTTCAAACGCGCGGAGATATCTGAATCCAATGCAAATAGCTCTGATACCATGTTAATCGAAACGAAGAAACGAAACGAAGAACAAGTTCGAAACGGAACACAACACAGAATTTAACGTGGTTTCCTTGCTCGGTGTGAGCAAGACTAGTCCACGGCAGGAAGTGGAGTCTCGTATATTATTATGCTCAACAATTACATGCATATACATAAATATATATACTCGGCTGCCCTAACCCTAATAGGCCGAGAGCCCCTATGCTACGTATGGGCCTGATCATACGTGCATGGGCCAAAACCCATAACTCAACACTACCTTGGTTCGGTCTTGCACTTCAGCAGCTTCTAACACTCCGACAGTGCTTCTAATGGTCAGGTTGGGCAATCATTTATCTGGTCAAGTGAGTTTTCCTGGTAAAAATAAACTAAACTAATCATGTGGTGAATTGAAATTATTCATTTTCTCATGGATGATGAATGAGGTAGTTTTTGGAAGCATGTTGTTAGTGATAGTGACAGCTATGACGATAGTGGTGATGACGATTATGAGACTTGAATGCAAACACTACAACAAATTCGGCCTATTAGGACAAAAATTTTATTTTGTCATTTTCTGTTTGTCACAATAGGTACGGTGATATGACAAAAATAATATATGTCCTATTTGGTATGCCTAATGTGACAAATAAAATTTTGTCATAATAAGTCGTCATTTAAAGTGAGTAATGTGACAAATATTTTGTGTCGCAATTAATTTTGTCAAAATAGGCGTCCCATATCGGGATGTAAGAGACTCAACAGTGACAGATTTCTTGTTGTCAGAATAGTTCGTCATTTAAAGTTAGTAATGTGACAAATATTTCATGTCACAATTAAGTTTGTCAAAATAGGCATCCCATATGGGGATGTAAAAGACACAAAAGTGACAAATTATATTGTCAGAATAGATTTTGTCATATTATGCCTTCTCGAATTGTTTAAATGACAAAGTATTTTGTCACAATAGATAGCAATAATTCCACGGCGAGCTGGCAAAAGGGTATGTTCGTCATAATATAGTGGTTTTGGCTTTGACAAAAGGCATGTTCGTCATAACATAGTGGTTTCATTTTTGACAAAAGACATTTTCGTCAGATTTGCTTGTGTTAGACTGAAACATCGTGTTAGAATGAAGCCAATCAGCCCGACCGACGCATTATTTTCCCGCCCAAATTTCAGTCCCGGCCAAAAAAAATTCCCCAAGCCCGCCCACGTTTCCCCTGCAATTGAACCGAATTAATCTAACCTAAGGTTTTTTTTTAATTTCGTATTAAGAGTATTCATTACTAAATTGGCATAATAAATTAATTAATTAAACTCAAGAGTAGGCAAGTGGTTTAATTCCCTCCCTAAAAATGATGTCGTTTGAACCAAAATTGGGTAAAAAATTAAAAAGTAAAAATTCCTTCACCTCTCACTCAGCACTCACAGCCCACAAAAACCCTACTTCCCCACACAATTCTCCCAATTCTCATTCTCCGCCGCTCCTCTCTTCTCATAACAAAATCCCAATTCTAATTCTCAATTTCTAACTCCAATTCATCTTTCTCGTTCATCCATCTATCCATTACCCTTTGCTTCTTCATCTTCTCACCTCCCTCACTACTCGAATTTCTCCCCAAGCCCCAAGGCAGACATAACTCATCTAGGGAAAACCAAAAAATCAAAACCCAGATCTGGCCTTCCTCTCCGTATCGACTATAACTGTCGATCTGCTTCTCTTCTTTTGTATTTCATTCCGATTCCACCTCTCTCCTCTCGATCTGCTCACGATTCTCTATCTCCTCTAAAATAGCAACGACACGAGGACATCTCCTCAAGAACACCAGTGGCGTGGCTACGACAAACTCCTTGGAGTGACGGGCGAATCTCAAGATGGGGCGGCGACAGATGTTGTTGACAGCTATGGACGAAACTCACTACTCGCCATATAGTTTTATCTGCGTTTCTCTTTGGTCTGGTAAGGGTTTTTTTAATTTCTGGGTTAATCTTATTTGATTCTTATTTTTTTCCCCTTGTTTTGATATTGGGTTTTGATTCTGTAGGGAGACGAACTGTCAGAATTCTGTTTACTGATTCTGACTTTTTGTTTTGCAGGTTTTGGATTGAGGGTACTATTCTTCAAATTGATGATTATGATTAGGGTTTTTAAATGGCCAATCTGGAGTTTGGATGTGGATATAAAATGGGGGATTGGTAGTTTAGTAAATCTTGGCCGAATGCAAAATCTTGGTTTTGAAGAAGTGACGTTTAGATATGGACCAAAGAATAAATTGCGAATAGCTAAAAAAGTCTTCTCGAAAATTAAATTGTGAAATATACTAAAATGAATCTGAAAAAATAAATTGAACGGAAAAAATATAAATTACTCCAAAAAATACCAGATTATGACAACCGTACTGACAAAATATGTCGTCATAACATCTTTGTTTGTCACAATAGACTACCCAAAACCTCATATATACTGAAAGCAAATGTGACAACCTTATTTTAATTTTTTGTCACATTTGACCTATCCTGACGGCGATAAAATGACAAACCTTTGTGACAACACCTTTTGTCATACATATTACACCTAATATGACAAAATGAATATCTAATATGACAAAATTGTCTCGTCGTAATAGGCCTAATTTGTTGTAGTGAAATTTCGATGTTGATGCCATAATGTTGTCTTGAATTCATAATCAATAAAAGTTTCACGACTATATAAATTTTATGTGATTAATAGGGCACATACATATCATCACTAAAAGTTTCACGAACTATAAGATCAGCTAACTATGAAGTTTTAGCAACAAAAAAAAAATTTTGCCGTAATATTACGATTTGCGAAGATGACGACACAATTGTCGCATAAGGTTCAAAGCTTTGAGGTCGAAGGATTCAATAGTTGCAACCATCGCTTTGGCAATGACTAATTTGTCTCGAAATTGTCCAGCAACGACTCAATTCACTCTGTCATTGAACATTTTATTGATTATATGGATATAATATCTTCAAAACCGACTGTTATCATCAGGGACTTTTCGGTATAATTTTATAAAATCCACCAATATGATATTTTCATAATATTTATATCTCGTACCATGCTGAATAGCAATAGTCCCATTTTAACGGTTGGACCGGCTACATGGTGCAGTAATCCTTGAATTAGACAAGAACAAAATGAAACTATTTTGGCATTATGTGTAGTGATGGCAATTTGAATCCGCCTCGCCGAGAATCACCCGACGTGACCCACAGTAGCGTGGGACGGGGCATGGTTACTACTTCCGACCTGCCCCGCCCGGTTCCATTCCGTTCTTGACCCGTATTACCTCGATTTGTATTGATAATTCTCCTGTTATATATCTTAATATATTTTAGATATGTGATCTTTCACCTAATTAGACTCAAGTAGGTTAGCTACTATATCTATTTTTCATGTATGAACTAAAAGTCTTTTGTTTTATCACTAAAATATAAACATTTTCTTAAAATAATATATTAGAATCAATCGATCTGTCTATATTCGCATCCACACGGGTATTACATGACTTGACTCGCGCTTGCTATGGGGTGGATATATATAGAGGTACCTACCAGTCACATTGCCATTATTGATGGAAAAGCAAAACCAACACTACTTTTAGACGAAATATCAAAAGTCAGAACCAACAGCCAGATAGTTTTTGAAGTCCAGAAATGGAATTAAAGATCCTAATCGTGGAAATGAAGATACAAGTTGACCAAGCAAATACTTTCCCTCCTGAAAGCAAGCAAGCTCCACCTCCCTCCCCCGCCATCTTCTCTCTAGCTAACTTGTTTCCAACATATATCATAGACCAAGGCATCTAGCTAGTTGTAACACGATATATAATAACACGTTGAAGCTTCAACTCAACTTTGTGACAATCCAAAGCAATAACACTAAGTCGAGATAATGAATTCCCAAGTGATCGATACCCTCCACCTTTATGCCAATGTGCCCTTAAAATTTCCATCACCTTTTTGACATGGCAAAGCAAGGAATAGTGATGCCTCCTGAAATTCTTGCCGCTTCTCCGCGTACATGCATGCACATCTACGCAAAAAACGAAACCCTCTCCTCTCCTCCTTATAAATACTCCTCCAAACTTCCATTCCTTCTCCATCTCATCTCCTCTTGCAGTTTCCACCACAACAGCACACACTCATAGCGAGTGGAAGCCAAAGAGGAGAAGGGATCGCCAAAATACCGTTTTCAGAAAAGCTAGAAAGAGTTCCATCTTGGCCGAGAAACCATGGCCAAGTCATCATTCGTGGTCATGTTGGTAGCTTTGTTGGCGATGCTGATGGCCATAGAGGCCGCACTTGCGGCTGATAAGGGTGGCAGCAACAACAACAATAACAACAACAACAGCAACAACGGCAACGGCAACACCAACAACAGCAACAACAGCAATAATAACAACAACAATAACAACGGCAACAATAACAACAACGGCAACAACATCAACATCGGCGGGGGAGGGAAGAAGAAAGGGGAGAAGGACTTCGACGACTTGCCCGGGGAAGGCAACGGCAGGGAGAAGCACATGTGCCACGCCAAGTCCAAGTGCAAGAACAAGATCCTCGTCTGCCCTCCAGAGTGTCCTTCAAAGAAGCCAAAGAAGAACAAGAAGAACAAGGGTTGCTTCGTCGACTGCAACCGCAACTGTGAGGTGGTTTGCAAGTGTAAGTTCTCGCCTTCTCTCGAACACTCTACTTCCCAAATATGTTACGAATTTTTTACGCTACAATTCATATCTTTATTTCAAGCGGGACTATAACCCTACTGGTTTCAACCTAGCTCCGTTGATGACTCATGTAACGCGCGTAACGTTCTGGTGCATGCATGCAGTCAGGAGGCCCAACTGTGATGGGTACGGTTCGCTCTGCTACGACCCGCGATTTGTCGGAGGCGACGGAGTGATGTTCTACTTCCACGGAGCCAAAGGAGGAAACTTCGCCATCGTCTCCGACACCGACCTCCAGATCAACGCCCACTTCATCGGGACCCGACCCGAGGGAAGGACCCGCGACTTCACGTGGGTGCAAGCCCTAAACCTCATGTTCGACTCCAACAACCTCGTCATCGCCGCCAAGAGGCTGTCCAGCTGGGACGACGCCGTCGACGCCCTCACCGTTAGGTGGAACGGCGACGAGATCGCCCTCCCCACCGAGGGAGACGCCGAGTGGAGCACTTCCACGGGAGAAAGCCGGAGTGTTGTGGTAGAAAGGACCGCCGAAACAAACAGCGTGAAAGTTAGGGTTTCGGGGCTGGTGGAGATGAACATTAGGGTTCGGCCGATCGGGAAAGAGGAGGACAGAGTTCATAATTATCAGATCCCACACGGAGACGTTTTCGCCCACCTCGAGACTCAGTTCAAGTTCGACAACTTGTCGGAGAAGGTGGAGGGTGTTTTGGGCAAGACCTACCGTCCTGACTACGTCAGCCCGGCGAAGATCGGCGTGCCGATGCCGGTTTTGGGAGGAGAGAACAAGTACAAAACGCCGTCGCTTATGTCACCTCTTTGCAAGGTTTGCAGGTTCCAACCTACCTCAGTAATCGCCTCAGTAACTGCCTCAGCCTAAAAGAGAAGAAGAATGAAGAGATCGAGAGGCTGCTATATTAAAGCAAAGCAAAACTAATGCATATGCATGATATTTATTTTTGTGTTCCTATTGAAGAGGGTAAAATTATTTTCCTTCCCACAAAAATAAAACCTACCCATTATATGGTTGATGGGGGAAAATTCATAATTTAAATTATTCAAGTGCTTGAGTATAATACAAAGCACATTTATTATAAGTTGATTTGTGTTTGTATGAATAAATTGTTAATATAAGTTACTAAGTTGTATTTGTACTATTGGTTATTTGTGATTTGTTAATATGATTAATTTCGTGATTGTATCATTGATCAGTATGTAGAATTCAGGATTGACATGCATTGGAGATTAAAGAGAGAAGAGGAATTTCCATAGAAACCATGTTCACGAGATGGCATTTAATTAAGATGAATGTACTGCATCCCAAAAAACAAAGTTAAGAAATTGGGACATTGTTTTGATAAATTGGAGAGTTTATTGATGAAGGTCAACGCCTGGATCCAATCGAAGCATTTCGATGATTGAACCGGCCGGCCATACCTGGAAACAAAAGAACCTAACGTGACGCTTAAGAAATTGAATGCATGGATTTGAGTAAATAGCCAGCTAGGCTGCATGTGGGTGCCCTCGCAGATAGCGCTGACTTTCTGACTAAGTAATAGCCACGTCCAATAATAATATTCTTTTTTATATTTTACAATCAATAATAAGATTCTGACCGCCCAATGCAAAGTCTACAACCTCCCAATGATTGTTCCAATGGTTTAAACAAAAACTGCATTAACCTACCTTAGTTTCCAAGTTATATATATACCTTCACAAGCTGACTGTCAATACTGTTACCCCTTGTATTGAAGCACAATGTATTATGTATATGTGATGGTAGATACATACAAGATGTGTTTTTTCTTTGTACAAGGGTGAAAGAATGATATACAAATTTGTTATTGACTTGAGTGGAAGAACTGATTTTCGAAATGGTATTAGAAAGTTTGATGATTGTGAAAGCTTATTTAAGTATGTGTATTTGAGCTTTTAGTTGATTCTCCATTTGAGTATGGGACGAGATCATTTTTCAATATACCTCCCCATCAACAGGATCGTTATTTATGAGTGTTTTTCTTTGCAAGACAGATTCTAGACTCCAACCATTAATATAGCACACATTTTATTTCCATTAGGTGCACTCGTTATTGTTGTTTCAGTAACGTCAATGCAAATTCTAGGGTCATACTACAATCAAATCAATTGTTAATTTGGAATCACTTCGATCTTAAACGGAGTTGAAATGAAATTAAAAGATGAGTCACGTCATTGCGCACCCCAGGCCTAAGATTAACTTAAGACCAGAATCTTAGTATCATAAATAGCTTGGTCGCTCACACACGACATTGGCACGATTATGTTGACAAAGCAAAATATCTAAGAAAGAATACGACTCAGGATACATCAGTGTCTAAATCATTGCTATTTTGTTTCACGGAGGGTAAAAATGAGGCGGGACAAGGCCAAACAGGGGGAAGAAAGGTTCAAACCACCTCATACGACTTGCATATCCGATAAACCTATACCATATGCGAGGAGGTAGGTCAGGACTCAAGACTAACAAATTGTTTCGCAATTGGAGCAAAAATGTTAACATCAGTGATTAAGGTATAACACTTACCTAAAAGATGTCCAAAATTGAAATCCTCCGTTAAACTAAGATTCTTTTTTTAAGGCAAATTTTCACCCATACGAAATTGAAGTACAACTCATGGAAAATTGATGGAGGAATTTCAATGCTTACACTTATAAGCAATGAGTGTTTATTTTCCAGTTCACAATTTGAAACTAGTAATCACATTGTAATTATACTGCAATTTCATAATTTAGTGACTGGTTATATATACATCCCACTAACACATCAACTCCAGTAGAGAAAGTCATGTTACGTTCAATGGCAATTCAAGCTCCATCATCTGTTCCATATCACCACTTACAAACCGCCAAAATGCACTCTAGAAAACTGAAAAACCTGATGATAATTCGAAAATGATAACATTCAGTCAGTATATTAGATTTTGATTCTTTGCAAAGCTCCAAGCCAATTTGTGAAAAGTTACCCACCTAGAATGAATGTTAATGAGTTAATTAAGTACATATGATGAAATCTAACAACATGTAAGTGATCATTAATTAGTCGGTCAAAGGTGATTAAAAAAAACCACCACAAAGTACTTATAACACCCATCCTAGCTAGCTTGCTAGCCGCCGACTGAGTACTGAATATACTAATGGCAGAACTCACTGGCAACTCACTCGCTTCCCCGTGGACAGAAGCAAGAACTCCGCTACCACGACGGCGGACTTCACGGCAGAACCGCAGGGCGCGGCCACATTCAAAACTTCCTCCTCGCTCCCTCACTATATATTCAACCACCATTCCATTCCACACCCATTATTACAACTCACACCGTCACAGCAGAGCAAAAACAGAGTGTCTTGAAATGGAAGGAAGAAATCCAAGCCTCGCTGCTCTGTTTGCTTTCTTCCTCGCATTATTCTGCTGGACGGAAGCCTCTGCTCAATCCAGCTCCGGCTACCGGAACCTGGATCCGGCCAGAACCAATTACAGAGTGCTGCCCAGAACAGAGTCCGGGAAAGAACAGGTCTACTGCCTCGCCAGAGGATCCTGCCAGTACAAAACCCTCACTTGCCCTGACCAGTGCCCCGAGAGAAAGCCGCGACAGAACAGGAAGGTCAAGGGCTGCTTCATCGACTGCAGCAGCAAATGCGAAGTCACCTGCAAATGTAAAGCTTCTTCTTCTTATTCTTCTTCTTCCTGCTGTTTCTTTTTCCCTGTTAGATATGATTCTTATATTAATTTCTAATTTCTGGGTTCTGCAGATAGGAAACCGAACTGCAATGGGTACGGCTCACTCTGCTACGACCCGCGATTCGTCGGCGGGGACGGAGTGATGTTCTACTTCCACGGAGCTAAAGGAGGCAACTTTGCGATAGTCTCCGACGAGAAATTCCAAATCAACGCACATTTCATCGGGACCAGACCACAGGGGAGGAGCAGAGACTACACCTGGGTGCAGGCTCTGGCCGTGATGTTCGAAACCCACACTCTGGTCATCGCCGCCGACAGAGTCCCGCGGTGGGACGACAAGGCGGACGCGCTGATCGTGAAGTGGGACGGGGAGAAGGTCGACATCCCCACCGGCGGCGAGGCCGAATGGAGGACCGTCACCACTTCCGGGAGGGAAGTCGTGGTGGAGAGGACCGACGACGTGAACACGGTGAAGGTGACGGTGGGCGGGTTAGCCGAGCTGTCGGTGAGGATCAGGCCGATTGGGGAGGAAGAGAACAGAGTTCACAACTACCAGCTGCCGGAAGGCGATTCTTTTGCCCATCTGGAGACCCAGTTCAAGTTCAACAACTTGACCGATGAGGTGGAAGGGGTTTTGGGGAAGACTTACCGGCCTGATTATGTCAGTCCGGCGAAAGTCGGAGTTCCGATGCCGATGTTGGGTGGAGAAGACAAGTACGAGACTCCGTCTCTGTACTCGACTTCCTGCAGGTTCTGCAGGTTCCATAGAAGCTCTGCTGCTGCTTCTGCAGGAATATCTGAAATCTAAATGCTTTGATAAGTTAACAAAAGGGTAAAGAGCAACAGTTGTTATGAACATGTATAATGGATCCATATATGCGTGATTTTGTAGTGGGAGTGAATAAATACAGACAAGGAGATCGATTTGTGCGACCTTCACTCTGTATCTTTGTAATATGCAGCATTCATATTTTTTCAATATCCAATTGAGAAGCAAGCCCTAGAATACACAATCTGTCTATTGAGATTTGAGACTATAACTATGCCCTTTCCTTTCTGCCAATCTCTAGTTAATGAAGATCAGCGGCGGAAGGCTTATTGAATGGCGCACTTCTTCCTTAGGGAACAAGTAATTAAGTGAATTACTTTTCAGCAGAACACAATCTAGTTCTCTTATTATGTACAGGAAGCTTCCACAGCCAAACTCTTTCGAACTAGGCCGCAAGGTTCACCAAACGTGCTGTTCGATACTTTGATGCTGCAGTTCTTTGATCCGATGCAAGCCTGGAGGTTAAACACAGCGTGAAAGAACACATGTTACATGAAAGTTTTAGGATTGTGCAAAAGAGAGTAGGAAGAGGGTGGTGGGAGGGTACCTTTTGCACAATGGATAAAGTATTCTGGCTGTGGCATTGTCCATTGTTGAAGCTCCCGCAGGTTCCCTGAGGGGTGCCATAGCTTGCATACTTGATTGAGGAAATCACTTGGTTTGGGTGTGGGCAAGATAGAGATAGCACAGGTCCTGATTTAGTTTGTGCACGTAGATCTGAACTCCATTTGTGTACTGGCGATGGATGAGTCTCTGATACTTGTGCGCAGAGGCTTCCAACCTGGGGCGTGGCGAATGCTATCTTTGTTGGGTCTCCACCGTTCTCCTCGAACAGTACTAGAGTGTTTCCAGTTGATTTCAGCCATGAACGGGGCACGTGGTACCTGTTAAACCGCGTTTCGTGTTAGACTCCCGTCTAAGTAGTTTCCTGAGAAGGCTTGCACTGTTTGAACAAAACCACTTACAATGTCTGAGAAGGCTTCCCACAGTTCTTGAGGCATTTGTTTGCACCATAACTTCCTCTGTAATCGCAAGAGTCGGTGCAACCACTACTCGGTGCTATATTAGTGGGCCAATAACGTCCAATGCTTTGTCCATTTACCCAAGCCTCACCCTTACCCATCCCGGTGAAGTCGATTGCTAGAGGGCCGTCACCACCTGGTGTGTTGAAACTCCTCTGAGAACAATTCACCAAGGTACCAAAAGTTAGCCCTTAATCAAGTACAACTGATCTCCTAACGACTAGACAGTTTCAAGGGCCGAGTGATGTTACCTTGTACCATACTAGAGGTTTCATTGTAGGTAAGGACGACTGAGAAACCCACTGTGCAGAATCTCCACTAGACAAGCCTAATCCCTCTCCTTTGAGTCCAACCTGAACCAAAATGGTGAGGCATTGATAAGGTAACATTGGATTAGACTATGATCCTGCCTATTTAAGAGACACAGGCCAGACTAGAAGAAGCAAACCTGATATGTCCACTTCTGTGAAGAGAGATCGATAGCGGAACCATTCTTCAGCTTCAATACTACAGGGCCAGTAATTCCGGCCCCTTTCAGGTCAAAAAATGCTCCATAATTCTGGTACATTGAACACAAATGCTTCAATCATAAGTCTTCATATGCCAAAACTTGTGTTGATTGTATGTCAGAAGAAAACTAGCTGCAACATTTCATTTTCTGGCAGCTAGCATTAGTTTTTACTTATACAGGTTCCTGACCTGAAGTCCCACTGTCACACTCAAGAGATCAATAGTGTTCTTTCCAGCCACAAGCGTGACTGGAACGTCTTCAGAAACCTTAGCATTGTTACTATTGCCTGTTGCACTCCCTGTAAATAAACCATATTGTCAAAGTTGACAAAAACAAGGAATACCAGCAGTGATATACCAGTTCTACTTGAAGCATTAAGTAGCCTAGTAATGACTTTTATGAATCAAACGCATGATGTTGTTTCTTCACTTATGGTCTGGACTTTTCACTCTAATTATTGGAGTGTAACTATCACCAATGGGAAAAGCTACAGTTTGGGGTAGACGCAACAACCTCTCAGTTCCTTATGCAGTAGAACTTGTATAACCTTCAAGTATATCATGACAAACTGAAAGGAACTTCATAACCAAAGCTTAGCATTCTAAACGGACAAGCATTAGACAATGCATTGAAGACGATACAGACTCAACATACAAATCAGAAAAGGAAACAACATAAATATACTTACCAGACAACTTTCCATTTACAAAAGTATGAAGGACATGGCCAAGTGATTCCACATCAATTTGGGATCCAGCACCATCTTCACTATTAATGCTGGCAGAACCAAATAAGGAAAAAGATAGGTTTAGATACCAGAAATACCGATATCTAGAAGAAATTTAGATCACATATAGCGCAAAAATGGATGGTAGCAGTAAATGCAATGTCCTGATTTGCCTACCTTAACGAGTACCACAAGTAGTCACTCTGATCAGAGGTGGTGTTTATCTGATCTTGAAGTCCTGGTTTCGTAAATGCGTCATCCTTTGTGATACCAACTGGCTCATCTATCCAACTCCAGTCAGAGTCACCATCGATCGCTTCACGAGTGAAGCTGGGAACCACTGTGACAGCATTTATCTGTAATGAACACAAATGAGAAGGTCCTGAGATGAATGTAAAAAAGGAATTGAAAACTTAGAAGACTTTTGCTTTTCTCTTTAAGCTTGAGAGGCAGAATTAGAATGGCATCAACATATAAGCAACTTCAAGCTCCAGAGCCAGACCTTTGCAGTATTAAACGCTACCGTTTTGCAGTCCGGTAGGATGCTGACTGACCATGCAGGCAACTTATACGAATTGCCCGAGAAAGTTACAGTCTTGTCAGATGTACCAGTATTTGCTAGAAAGGCAGCACAAACAGAACCGGATTTGTAAGTAGTTGCCTGTGAAACAAAAAACGGTTGCAGATTACTTCACAGAAAAGAAAACTAAACTCATCCACTGACAAAAGAGAGATGTTAAAAATGTGGGATACCTCCACGTTTGAGCCCAGAGAAGTTGTAGCTGGGTCAGTTGCTAACAAGGCATCTTCACAGAGCTTTATGGCCTTGTGCAGATCTTTCAGGTGGCCCCATTTTGGTTGCCTAAGTTGGCCTGCAATGCAATGTGAAAAATGATGTACCCTTTGGGTTAGAGTGAACTTAATAATTGAACTACTTGGTATTGGCCTAGAAGATGGCATGGCAGCAGCAGAGGCCTATACCATATTCGTCCAGAGGGGCATCGTAATCATAACTAGTGGAGATGAATGGTCCACCAGAAGTCCTGCCGAAGTTAGTCCCACCATGGTACTGCAAAGGAGCCGACACTAAATTAATTCTTCTCACATGTTGGTGTAATTATAGCTACAAAGGAGCCGAAGTAATTCATAAATTCACCACCGATTTTACCATATAATAATTCTGGAAAGTCCCACCCAACTGGAAGAAGCGCCCCACGGCAAATGCAAGGTCCTCCACGGGTCTGTAGGGCACAGCACCGCCGAAGGAAAGAAACCTAGCATGGAGGACAGCTTATGAGATGCGCCATGCAAACAATATGCCAACAGTCAAATGGAGTTGCTTTCTTTCTGGTTATACTCCTTACCATCCACTCCAATTCTCAGTCCACATTTTTGGTTTGTTATTGGAGTTTGGGGTGAATTGGTCACAGTAGAAGCCATTGCAGGTGTTGATCTGTAATTTGTTACACAAATTAAGTATATCAAAAGCGGCATCTAGGTGAGCTGTAGAAGTAATGACAAGCAGAAGGTCAAAATATATAGAGGACAGCAGTCCATTCAATTCTCCAATTAGGTGGATTCTGGGTCAACACCAGAGATGGTAGGGATAAAGGGAAAACAAGGAGAAATATTGTTTAGAATAATAGTAAAAGGTTTGTTTGGATTGGGTAAAGTACAAATATTGACATTTGTAATAAATGTCTCATTTTACAATAAAATCGAGAACTCGAACGAAATATGATTATTTATTCATGTTAAAATATCATATGTTCTTTTACTTGTCAAACAAGCATTTTGTTACCATGATTATTCGAAGATATCGTCGACAAAATGACTCATCATAGAGCCTCATCTAACCAAAGTACCAAACCATAAGTTAGAGTGGAAATGATACTAACAATGGGATCGGGAGCATCCTTTTGCTGGCACATGACCCATGGCACTCCTGTGTTGAGAGACACGGCCATTTTTGCTGCCCAGTTGATGTAGGTTTTAGCCGCGGGGCCATAAGCAGAATCAACGTTGCCATATTCATTCTCAATCTGACATGCATCCATAAAAAAAAAATTGTGTAAGGAAACTCGATCAATTTCAAGTTTCTAGATATGGGAAACGTAAATGGCAAGTCTTTTTAGTTTTACGTTACAACATCATTCATTCCTCTGTTGTAATTTGTGTTTGCTTGTCACTTTGGGCAAAAAAAATATAAACAATGATTATAATGACTAATAATCCTGATCAGTTGTCCAAAAGTGTAGACAGTGAACAATCATTTGAGATTCGATCCCTAATCATGCTAGTAGGAAACCAACCAAATAAATTAACCATAATTAGATACTATCTAATCTCCACCAACAGAGTAAGTAGGAAAATTATAAACCCCAACACGCACACCTGTGATAATATAATTGGACCTCCTTGAGATGCATAGAGCTTCTCCTTCTTCATCAAATCCACAATTTTAGCCGTGAATCGCTTCATTTCAGCCTGAAAATCAACAGCCCTTAATTATTATTACTATCTATTATTAACGATGATCACAGAGAGCAAGTTCGTTAATCAGATAGGACAAAAGCATAAGCCATTCATTACGACAATAAGTAGAGTCAAGAGTGTACCTTGTATGGCTCATTATCAGTGCGCAGCTGGATTCCCGGAATGAAATGCAGCCATAGAGGAAATCCCCTGAAGCCAAACAGACCGAAACAAATTGAGGGAAAATTTGTAACATTCAAAAAAAATTTCCCGAGAAAATAACATTGATCACATTACCCATAGTTCCATTCAGCACAGACATATGGACCGATGCGGAGATGAACGTAGAGCCCAGCTTTTGCTGCTAACTTGATGAATTGGACTAGATCGTACCTCCCTTCGAAATTATACTGTGCAGCAAAAGAGAGGAAGGAAAATTATTCATTGATAGTTTCGAGGAGCTGCTCCGGAAATAGAGGAATCTATTCCCCCTGTTTTCTGTTTGGCCACTGAGAAAGTAAAGCGAGGCGAGGGAAAATTAACCTGACAATTTTCTACTGAAAAGGAAAATTAGAAAAAAACCCCACCAGAATCCAACCAAAACGATTACAGCACTCTTTTGCTTTGAATATTCAGCAGTTGGAAAAAAGAATAGCCGCTCCTTCTCTAACTCTTATCTACCCTGCATTTTCTCGGGAACCAAACAGAGCGGCAGAAGAACACAGAGAAGGGGGAAAATGATGAAAACCGACCTGATTTTGGACTGGCTCGTGTCCGCTCCAGAAAACGTAGGTCTCGATCACATCCACGCCTCCATCTTTGGATTTCTGCAGAAGGTCCGGCCACATCTGCCAAACCAAACACCATTCATTAAAAAAAAAAAATTAAGAGAAGAAGAGGAGGAGAAGTTAAGCCAGAAACAAAAAAGAATAAAAAGGAAAGGAAGAGAACAAATTGGTTACGTCAGGTGTACTGCGTGGGTAATGAATGGAGCCAGAGATCAACACCCGCCGCTTGCCATCAATGACCAGAGCTCTGTGATCGTACGACACGTTTGCTCCCAAAGCCGTCGTCGCCGCAGCAGCCACCGCCACGACGAAACACGCCGCCGCAGCCAGAATCTCCCTCCGCTTCATCTTTGCTTCCTCCTCCGACTTCTCTCGGCCAGAAAACACCAAATGCTGCTTTTTATAACTAGGATTCCAAACCGTACGGTTTCGGTTTTCCCTTCAAACAGTGCTTAATTTTCAAACAAGCTACCCCCGCTAATTTCCGCTTGCTTTGCTTGTTGGAGTAATGCTAATTTTTGGTGAAGCCGTGAAGGGAATCGGGAGGAAAAGAAACGAGAAGTGCTTATAGACGATACCACACGGCACGCCTTCCGTTGTCGCCGTCGACGCGAATTTTCCGTCGCCGCCGTGGATTTATTTCTCACTGTTACGTCACAGACTGGGAAATTGGGAATGTGCTTGCAGAGTGCGTGACTTAATTGGAGGAAGGAGGGAGGGAAAAGGACTGGTTTATAAGGCTGTGTGGTGTGGCCTGCGGAGGGGGGGAGTGATACTGTGTGGGCGGGTGTATGGAAGGGGTTTGGTGATCTCGCGGATTGGATTGCTGTCGTGTGGACAGCTGTACAGGCACGTAGAAGAATGGGTTTTTGGACTCACGCAGTAGAGCGCGGGAAGGAGGCGGGACCCGCTGCGTACGCGCCAAAGATATCAATCTGATCGTTTTCCGTCGAATGAATGCGGCAAAGGGAGGGGTCAACCATGGTCATTTAAACTTTGGGGATAATAACAATTCAGTCACTAGACTATTACTTTTAACACAGACATTATTATGTGGCACAGTGGCAGTTAGGGGTGTAAGTTTGAACCTAAAGTCCTACTAACCCGTGTCGTCCCTGATGGTTGGGAAGGGTCAGTTTGTCTATAGGGTCAGTTTTTTATCCTTTAAGGGTCGAGACGGGTCGGGTCAACTTAGGGACGGGTCACTTTTTGACCCTGTTATCCTTAGCAACAACAAATATCTCATACCACATTGGACCTCTTTGTAAAAGTTTTGAATATTTAAGTACTAAAATTACAAAAATAAAAAAATTGGGTACCAAAATATAATTTTACCATCAAAATTCAAGGACTTATTTGTAAAAAAATTAATTTTAGGTACTAAATTGTAAGAAAGAATAATTTTGGGTACCAAAATGTAATTTGTAAAAAAGTAGTATGTAGATTAGGGTCGACTCATTGACCTGACCCGTCCCATCCCTTGAGGGTCAGACAGGGTCAAGAAGGAGACAGGGACGGATCAATTATACATCTTGACCCTTCAGGGACGGGTTAGACCGGGTTAGAGATGAGACAGGGCAATTTTCAGCCCTAGTGGCAGTATTATCAATTAGTATGACGTAATAGTTTTCGTCCCTACATGTTGAGTTCGAAATTTGAGATAAACAATTATCCGAAAATAATATAGTCCATCGATAACGAAGAATATAGGTAGTACCAGTGGCGGACCTAAGGCTAGTAAGGGTGTGTCGTCCGGCACACCCTCGTTCGAGAATTTTGTGAAGAACCTATATATTTTTTGTACAAAAATTTTTACTTCGAAATAGCCAACACACCTTCAATAATTAAAGCCGACACACCTTCATTATAGTCGAAGAATTTATTATCCAAATGAATCAATCTTAATCATAATCCATTTTAATTTTGTTTAAAATAACTCAAAAATCATAATCCTATCACTTCCTATTAAAAAAAAAGACTCTCAGCTCATACAATATATATGTGTGATGTGTGTTGGGTTTGAGCCTATAATTAAAAGTGGAAAAAAAAATCACAGGCCAAATGGCCAATAGCCCAGGTGGACACTCTTTATCCTTTAGTTTACTTGTTGTTGAAGTTGGTGTTGACTTTACCTGTTGCAACTACAAGCTGCGAAAGAGCATTTTCAGCCATGAAGATAATCAAGAAAGATTTTTGAAATCAGTTGAGTGACCAAGTTATGAATGATTGTTTAGGCGTGTATATTGAATTTTTTTTTGCTTTGGAGCATAAGTGATGAATGTATTTTAGAGACATTTCAACATATGAAAAGTCGTCGCGGTTCGTTATAAATATGACATTGTGAACTTTATGAATTAATTTCTTTTAATTTCTACTTAATTTTTTTATTTAATTTAATTTAATTTTTACTGGATTTTATCGGTTACACACCTCTCCCGACAATCCTGGGTCCGTCACTGGGTAGTACGCGATTTTTCTTTTACATATAATGCTAATTCGCATGTCAAATACAAGATGTGTGATGCATGTTCGATCCTACATTATCATTGCATTAACTCGTGTGTTTTGTATGCATATTCTTGCAAGAAGCAAAGGTTGCATTGCCATTTGCCACCCACATCCATGAAGTGTGTGTACTGCAAAGTGCAAATGCCTTCCGCAAGTAGGTTCGTCATCCAATAAGAATCGCCACGTATGTACGAACTGATCCGTTCGTAATGACGTTGTCTCAAAGGAGGATGATAGAAACGCATAAGACTGGCTACTTAAGCTTATCGCATTCATTATGGTTTGCTCTACGAATCACAATGGATAGACTTAACTTGACTCAATTGTTCATTGATATAGTTTATAAAGGTTTTGGTTTGTATTCGAATGAACTCATGTGCATTTTTTTTAATGGTTTTATGTTGACTCCAAATTGGATCAACTTATTTGAGTTGAATCGAAATGTGTCTATCTATTTGGATCTCGATGATTGGATACACAAGAAAGAAATATCAATCATCTCTCTGACTGCTTTCGACCAAATTCACACTTTCAATATTGGTGTTACATGGGAAGGCAAAGTACTTGAATATTTTTATGCTAAAGTCATATGGGAATCTATTAGGCCTAAGAGGCATAAGATGCAAGGGTATAAGGATCTAAACTTTAGTATAGTTAATATATTATATTCAAATGACATTCCAGCCAACGAGATGGAAACTAAACTAGTGAAGACTGAATACCAATGAACAAGTGAACATGTGGTTTTACGGTACAAAAGCCCTTTGATCGGAAGTTCGACTATTGGTCGACTTCCGGGTTTGGTTATGTTCCGTGTAATGACTATTTGGATTGTACCTTTATGGATGACTATGTTAAAAAAAAAACTTATAGTTTTACTAAAAAAAAATTCCTTTATAATTTCTTCATATTTTGACATTTTTAAAAAATTACTTGACACTTCATACATAACCATCTAATAAATAATCATTAAAAATAATTGGGTTAATTTATAATTATAAATTATTTATCATATTAAATAAATCGAACAATTAAAATAATTAATATTTTAAAAAAATAGAACATTTAGTTTGAAACCATTCGCATTTCGCACTACCAGACTCAATTGTGTACCGACCGACACATGACCGACGCTGTGTATGTACAGTGGTCAGCAAGAGATCATTCTGTTTGATGCTCTGGACTGATCCTACTGACATCAGGCAATTGTGCCAAAAATGCAGATGTAACAATTGTTTGTTGTAATCAATCAAACACATAAACATTTCACTTTCACGTATAAAACTTCTTATCCTGTTCAAGACCACACTTCGCTGTCTTGTTGTGACTTGTGACTGTACCTTCAGTTTTAGTTTAGTGTTTCAAGTTTCAACCCCCCTTCTCTCCAGAGCGATACATTAGCAATAATGAAGTTCACGGAGTCCTCAACAATCGCTCATGAGGGAAATAATTATAGATGTATGGAGAATTGATGGTAATTTTTTTTTTATGAAACAAAGAACCACCAAAGGAAGTCATCTCTTGACCTCAAATCTTGTGGCAAACAAGAGGAAGAATTGTCAAGCTTACTAATAGATCACTAGATTAGTGAATAATGAACGAAAACATCTAGTCATAATAAACTCGTTCAATTATTTAATTTTATTATGTTTTCATAAGCAATACTTATGATAGTTTTGTGCAATGCAGTCAACAACGCGATTCTACCTAGAAGCGATGGGGTGACCTAGAAGCGTAAAATCGTAAGCTTTTAAGTTTTAAAACGTAGATTTTGACTACATTTGTAAGGGAAAATTACGATTCTACGTAGAAGCGTTGTGGTGACCCAAAAAGGTAAAACCGTAAGTTTTTAAGTTTTAAAGCGTGGTTTTGACTGTATTGGTTTTGTGAATCCTTTTTCGATAACAAAAATATTCTCGTTATTTTGTTACATTGAGAATTAAATTCACGTTTCTATTTAGTTTCGAAACTCGAAAGGTAAAAATTTTCATTTGAGATCTCAGTGGGAAAACAAAGCAACGTGCTTGGGCGGTGCCTGACTTTTATCAGAACAGTGCCCCCCTCCCCTCCATCACTTTCACCTCCCACTCTATGGCTTATCAATTTTGCCATTGATGTTCTTCACCTACTCCGACCAATATCATTGATCATCTCATTTGTCAAGCCGGTTTTCCTTTTAGTTCTCTTTTTCAACACCCACAAAAAGAAATTGTTCTAGTAACCAATCTTGAAGTTAAGCAAAAGCGACATACATTACGCAAGAAACTCAATTGAAGTTCGGAGAATTAGTAACCTCTAATTCTAAGGAATTGTCCTGATATCGAGATATCCCCATAAGAATAGACAATTAGACCAAAGAAACTCATCGGATAGAGAGCTAGAATGGTTGCGACATAAATGTAGAGTAAATGAAAGCGATTTATTTGCTGAATCTGACTTGGATCGTCGAACGTTGCATACAAGTTCATAGAACCTGCTTTCTTGAATTTCAACTCATAGATCATATTAAGACCATGTAAGATACATGCCAATCCAATTTGGTGATGGTTTAGACTTATAGGTTAACATTGAACTCGAAGACTTTGATAAATTGGCCGTTCTCCCCTTTGATAATATAGATGGTAGAGATCGAATATGAAGAGTGGTAGACGGATCCATCAATATTTAATATGATAGAAAATCATTATCTCATTGCATTACAAAAGAAACCAGTAAAACATAAACACTATAATGGATGATCCAAACCAAACCATTAGCCTTAAATATAGCCGCTATTGCCATGCACCATGATGCCCTAGAGTGAACATGAAAAAACTAAAGAAATGCTTACATGGCTCCAATTATCGATGATAAAGATGGAAGTCACCAAGAGATTTCATAAGGAAAACTCAATCTAGATTGCCCTTAGACCAAAAACCACAGTGACACCAAAGAGAATGAATCACTGGCTGAGAAAACAAAAACCAGCAATGTCCAAATCAAGTCGCTGGAATGGGTCGGCCAGTTTTTTTTCTGTTATATAGTTTTGTTAATTAAAATGACGGAAAAAAAATACAAAGCATGAAATCTGCGGTAGAAATCTCATATACAAACAAAAGAAACAGGCAAGCAATTTATGCCTGGAAGCACCAACACATAAGGGACCTCCTACCATGCCTTGAAGTTACTAACTTGACCTTTTTGA